TCAGTTTGGTGATTACTTGTTGAGTATAGTTTTGTCATATTTAGCTTTTAGATTAATGTAAATATGCTATTTATTAACAATTGCATTATAAGTTTGGCTTATAGATATATCAAAGAGAATGTTATGAGTTATACTAGGAATTCTTGTTTAGCATTGAAGTCAATTGATGCAAGACTCATGATAATTAATCATCACCAATGATTAGTAGATGTAAAAACTAACTTGAATATCAAAGCTAATAAGCTAAAATGCCTTCCTTGACAACTCTTAATAAATAAAATAATGAGCATTAGAACTGAAAGAATAAAAAACATATTAGTAAGATGTTATTGAAGTTTATTTTAGTAACTTTAGTTCTTTAGTATTATTTTATTCAGATTGGCTAATGTAATATCTAGCAGATAATAAATGTTTGTTGACTCTTATAACATTCATTCTGATATATTGATTATTGCTAAGGTTAATTTTGATAGATTAAGGTGATACATTAACATCTTGTTTGTTAGACAATAATACTTTATGTACTTTGAACTATCTTTTTAATACGTTATTTGGCATATTATCTCCAATATTTGGTAGTTAAGATTTATTATTGAGTTTTTTTTATGGTAGCTATTGAATTATGTTGGATAGTTCATCCTATGTCTTTAAAATTTAATTATCTTAGTGGTTCCTATACTATATTATACTAGTTTATTAGATAATAACTTAGTTGGATAACTTTTGTATTTTAATCTAAGATTTATTCACTAATAATTCAATGTATCTAAGATATCTTTATCTATGACTTTGATATTATTCATCATCTAAACCTGGCAAATTGGCTTTAACACTTTGTATGCATAGTGAAATTTTTAGTCATAAGATGCTATTATCAATTAGTTACATTACTGTAAACAACTAAATTTTCCATTCTACTTTAATCATTTAACCACACCACTGACCACTTGGAGAAGTCTCACTCACAACCTCTATAAATCTTATTCCAAACTTAGGGCTTGCTAGCTCTAAGAATGGCATCTATTGAATTCCCTTTCAAACTCCATTTTAGATCCATTTTGGACTCTTTCTCAAGTCCATCTCAGACTCCATCTTAGATTCTATCTAGGACTCCATTTCATACTCTATCTCAGGTCCATCTCAGACTCCATCTTAAACTCTATCTCAAGTCTATCTTAGGCTCATTTTGGACTTTATCTCGGACTCCATCTCAAACTTCATCTCAGACTCTATTTCGAGTCCATTTCAGACTTCATCTCAGGTCCATCTTGACATTTCTACATGTCATGTGTTTGTCCTCTTGGGTTCCTTTTCTAAAGACTCACTTATTGCTCGCTTCAAGCTTGTTCAAACGTGTTATGCTTGTTTGGCTTCTACTTCGGCCACTACCACATGGCATCCTTTCGGCTCCACTTTTGGGGCTCTGGGATTTGTATCTCACAATCACCCACTTCTGTTTTAATATTTTTAATTCTATTAAAAGGGCATGATTGTGTAAATAATTCCAACTGCCTATTTATAATAGTCTATCTAAACCTTTGCAATAAATTTAGTTTATTATTCATGAGGGGCCTTTGGTTTTTTTTTCTATATCACTTGTAGATAGGGTATATCATCTTTTGTAGTCCCAAAACAGATTTAAGTTGATCTATTTCTTACAAAGTGTGAACATTATAAAACTTTTCTAGAGTTATTTTTATGGCAATGATCCAGACTAGAGTATTCATTGATGAGGATATTAATCTTTTCAAAGGGGGAAAGTGTGTCGTGAATGTGACTTTGAGTATTGAAAGTTATTTATTTGCAAGTCCTTTCAAATATTCCTCTTTTATTGCCACGATGATAGGAGATCGGTACTACTGGTTCCCTTTATTAGTTCCTCTTGTTCAATTGCTAATAAACTAGATAAAAATAACATATAAACTCCTATGTATTTATTGTTGAGCATACTTAGTCTTGCATTAGCTTAATATGAACTTTTTGTGTACTATGCACTAGTCCCTTAATATTATTATATAATAACGTACTATATTTGCCAAACACCCTTGCTATCACTCTCTATATATTAGTCCCATTTAGTCCCATGGGCTATTTATGGAAAGTATCTAGATCTACTAATTAGGTATATCTATAGAATGTAAAGATTATTATGAACACAAAGAAGAAAAAATGAATTTATATTAAACACTCTAAATACAAAGTGAAATTGCAAATTTAGACATGGGAATATCATATTTTAGTAGTTTATTTAGTTTTGTAGTCTCTCTTCCTTTCAACAATAAAATCTTAAAAATTAGTTCAATTTCTAACTTAAATGAGTGATTAAAAAGAGTAAAGAATTATATAAAGGAATTGATTAAGATGTGAGAAGAGTCAAGGAGAGTATGATATTAAAAGTTAAATTGCAAAAAAACAATATCAAAGTAAGAGTCTCAACTTTCTCATTCACTTTCCCTAAATGATGCATAATTAAAAATAGAAAACAAGATACTGATTATAACCATTGAGTTTGATGTGGATTGAGGATGCATGCCAAAGACCAATATCATAAGTTTATGTGATCATTATAAATAGTGGTTACAAAAGAGAATTTTCAAAAAAACAACTAAGTTTCAAAAGAGTTTACATTTACAAGCAACTCTTTGATGAAGATGGTCTAATTTATTTTTGAAGATAGATACTTTTGAGAGTGGAAAGTAATTAAGTGAAGCTTACTATTTGGTTCCTTCTATGACACGAGAGTACTCAATGCAAAATTTGAAACATTTACCTCCAAAACAATATAGCTTCATGTTATTTGAATGAAGTGAAATTAAATGTAAATTTCAAAAGATCAAAAACAGTCTGAGTAACAAAATACCACACAAAAAGGGCATCTTCCATAGTGAGTCATGTAACACAAAGAGTGATTTAAAGAAGCCATGTATGAAATAATAGAAACCTTAGTAATATTTGTAATGATGTTATATAAGAAAACAATATAGTCCTAAAACTATCAAATATAAATTAAAACAACATTTTTCAAACTATACAAAAGGTTGTATTATCAAATTATTGAGTTTCAAAGAAGATAAAATGCCATGAACCAGAGCTGGAGATTTATGACCGAACCTGTGTAGCGTGCGCTGCCGTCGTGGGGGGGGGTTTTTGCAGACTCCTTTT